GCACCAGCAGCAGCGATTCACTCTCCCCCGCATGCAGCAGCAAGTCGCCGAGCTGCAGAGGCTGCTGCTGCACTTCGAGAGCCTTGTAAGCCGCTCGCTTGCAGCTCAGGCTGTGGGGCCCCTAGCGAAGTTTTCACGTGCATTTGCTGCTGCTGCTCTACTGGGGGCCCCCTTCTTGCTGCTGCCACCTTCGCGTGCTGCAGCAGCACAGCGCAGCGCAGGAGTCTCCTGCCTCACTTCTGTCTCCCTAGCCTTGGGGGGCTCCCTCGAGGCAGATACCCGCCTGCTGCAGCAGCAACAGCAGCAGCAGCAGCAGGCTGGGAGGCATGCACAGGGCAAGCAGCAACAGCAGCAGCAGGACCCATCGAGTGCTGCCTTGGAGAAACTGATAGACTGGCTCTACGGGGGGGGCCGCAGCAGCAGCAGCAGCAGCAGCAGCGGTAGCAGCAGCGGCTCTGTTGTCTCCTTTGGAGTGCCCCACGCATCAAAGGTGCGGCAGCAGAGATGCCCTGATGCAGCAGCAAGCTTAGTGTTAAGTTTGGTGTACATACACCTCAGCAACCACACAGCAGAAGGCTCTTTAGTAAGTCTACCGGAGAAGAGTTTGACGAGACTGGCGCTGCAGCACCTGCTGCAGGTGAGAGAGGGAGAAGAACTGCTGCTGCCAGAGGCGCAACTGCCCCTGCAGCAGCAGCAGCAGCAGCAGCAGCAGCAGCAGCAGCAGCAGGAGGCGGAGGAAGAAGAGCAGCAGGATCTTCATCTATTGGAATTATCAGCAGCGCAGCAGCAGCTTGTTGCTGCAATGGATTGCGTGTGTCTCCTCAGCAGCCAGAGGGCCTCAAGAGAAGGAGCAGCAGCAACAGCAGCAAACTCTCTTCCTGTGCTGCACTTTGTCTGTCTCCTTGAGGGCCTCTCTCATAGGGGTCTCCCTCCTTTCTTAGAGATGCAGCTAAGCCGGAGATTGACGCTGCTCTTCGCCAAAGCTTTAGAAGCAGCAGGGGGGGCCCTTGCTGAGCTTGCTGCTGCTAAGGCTAGCAGCAGGCAGCAGCAAGCAGCTGCTGCTCGTGCTGCTGCTGCTGCTGCTGCTGCTGGGGCTCATGATGGTGGGGGGAGTGGATTTGCTGTTGGTGCTGCCGTTGCGGGGACGGCGGGGAAGGCTGCGCATGCGCAGCAGCAGCAGCAGCAGCGGCTGCTGCAGCAGCTGCAAGCTTGCTCTGCTTTGCAGCTTAGCATTCTGCGTTTTTGCTGCAGACACTGCGATCGCCTGCCGCAGTTGGCGTCTCTTGTTGTGGGGTTTGCGCATGCAGGCTTCGGCCTTGCTGCTGCTGCTGCTCACCGCCAGCAGCAGCAGCAGCAGCAGCAGCAGCAGCAGTATCCGGTTCATCGATGGCGTCGGTTTAGTATTGCAATGGTCTGTTATTTCTTCGCGTTGCTGCCTGCTGCAGCAGGCGCACTGTCTCCCCGGCAGCTGTCTTCGCTGCTAGGAATTCTGCTGCTGCGGGGTTTGCTGCTGCCTCGCGCGGAGCCGCTGCTGTGGTGCTGCTATCTTAATTGCATGCGCCGCATATTTGATGCTACAAGACAGGGGCTCTGCTGCAGCGGGAGAGAGACGCAGCAGCGCAAGCGCTGGGAGCAGCAGCAGCAGCAGCAGCAGCAGCAGAGACGCAGCTGCTTCTCTCTTGTTGAGGGAGAAGCCCCCTCTTATATATTTGCTTCAGTCTCTATGAAGCTGCTTTTCTTTAGAGAGCTGCAGCAACTCATGCTGCTGTGGGTGCTACCCTTATTGTCAGGCACAGCATCTTCCACCTCTTCTGCTGAACCAGCAGCAGCAGCAGCAACACCAGCAGCAGGAGCAGCAGCAGCAGCTGCTGCTGCTCGACACGTCCCGTTCGCTGTGTGGGGTGCAGCAGCAGAAGCTCTTGAGGCATTTTTGCTGCTGCGTCGGGATTGCATGCGAATTCAGGAGATTTTAAATGAAGAAGAAATTAATTCTTTACCTACTGCTGTGCTGCAGCAGGAACGGCGGCAGCAGCTGCAGCTGCAGCAGCAGCAGCAAACCCGTGAGCTCAACGAGCAGCTAGTAAAGATGCCTGCATGCGTTGTCGTTTATATGGTTCTTTCAGGGGCTGCCCCTGTAGATCTGCTGCATCATAAAAGAAGGATGCTGCTTACAGAGGAAGACCCCACAGCAGCAGCAACAGCAACAGCAGCAGCAGCAGCAGCAGCAGGAAAAGCTCCGGAGACAGCAGAAGATCACTTAGCTGCTGAAGTTGTGGCGTTTTGTCAGGCCTGTGTTTGGCTTCCTCTTAAAGTGCAAGTCGAAACCCTTGAGGCATTCGCCTGCAGCAGCAGCAGCAGCAGCAACAGCAGCAGCAGCAGCAGAGTGGGGGGCATGCGCGTCTCTGCATCACGTTCCTTCCTGGGTTTCGTTACCCTTGCTGCATATATGTTGGCTCCGCATGCAGCTTTGCTGCTGCTGCCTCGCCTCTCAGACGCAGAGCGCTTCATGATGCCTTGCTGCTGGGAAGCAGACAGCTACAGCAGCAGCAGCAGCAGCAGCAGTAGTAGAGGTAGTAGTAGTAGTAGTAGCACTCGCGCGCATGCTGCATGCAACACCAAGGCTTCTTCCGCAGCTAATAGGGAGCCTGTTTGCAGCTGTCATGGGCTTCAGGGCAGCAGCAGCAGCAGCAGCAGCAGCAGCAGGCCCCGTTCCTTGTTGTCTTCGTCTCCTGCACTGTCTCTTTGTGGGGAGTTTGCTGCCTTTCCATGCTGCTGCTGGGATGCAGTAGAACGCGAAGATTCGCTTTATGCTGCAGCAGCAGAGCCGAAGTGTATGTACACCTCACAGCAAGGCATCAAGCACCTGATCGAGCTGCACCACCGCTGGCTTTGCTTCGCCGCCCGCAGCAGCAGCAACAGCAGCAGCAGCTACGAGCAGCATGAGTGTTGCTGCTGCTCGCCGAGCTGCTGGTTAGGAAGGCAGCACCCGTTGTTGCAGCTGGTGGTTGGTAGTGCAGCAGCAGGTGCAGCAGCAGCAGGTGCAACAGCAGCAGCTTCAGCAGCAGCAGGTGCAGCAGCAGCAAGTGCAGCAGATTCGTGCTTTGTCCCTTGTCTGCAGCCGCTGCTGCTGCTGCATGCAGCAGTAACAGGGCCCCGCAGTTTTTATTGTTTGTCTGTCTCACCAAACTTATTTTATCTTTCTTCTCTTAAGCCCCGCACGCTTCAAGAGAGCAGCAACTCTTATGCAGCAGCAGGGTGTATCTCTGCTGCTACTGCTGCTTCTGGAGATGAGAGTGGGGGTCAGCAGGAGCAGCAGCAGCGCAGCAGCAGCAGCAGCAAACAGCGTGGGCAGCAAGATGTTTGCTGCTTCAGCAATGACCTCGCGCAGCAAGTGGAGGCAAATAAACAAAAAACAAAAAAAATAATATTTGGGGAGAAGTGCAGAGAAGAGTTTGTGTTAGAACGCCGAGACAACTTGCTGCGTCAGGCTCACTTGCCTAGCCACTTGCTGCTGCACTTACCCTCTTCAAGCAGCAGCAGCAGCAGCAGCTGCAGCAGCAGCAGCAGGAACGGTGCCACTGCTCAAGTGCTGTTTGCTGCAGCGGATGCCCTAGCCCCATCAGTGGTGCGTCTGCTCTATGAGGAGGCAGAGAGGCGAAGACAAAGCAGCAGCAGCAGCAGCAGCTTCGGAGCAGGACATACAGCAGAAGGCAGCGTAGAGGGGCCCCTCAGCTCTCTATCTAATCGCATGCTAATCCTAGCAAACAGACTGCAGAGACTTCTCTATGAAGCTCAACTCAGTAGAGAGGCAGCAACTTGGGGTGTACGCTGAACTATTTGAATGTGCTGCTGCTGCTGCTGCTGCTGGCGATAGTACAGGGGCAGCAGCAACAACAACAACAGCAGCAACAGCAGCAGCAACGGCGGCGGATGCAGCAGAAACGGCAGAATCAACAGCAGCAGAGTCAGCAGCGAGAGCAGCAGCAGCAGCATCAACGCGTTCATTTAGATGCTCCAAATGGGTGTATGAGACCTCTTGCGGATCTTCTGTTTCTAATCCTAAACCCTAAACCCTAAACCCTAGGCACGCAGCAGCTGCGCATGCGCCATTGCAGGCCCCCTCCCCCGCCCCCCCCTCAACCTCCCAACGCATGCATCACTATTTAAATTGCTTCTGCATGCATGCATATTTTAATTGTTTCTAGATGTATGCATGCATGCAGATGCATGCATGCAAGTGCATGCAAACGCATGCATTTGCGTTTTGGGGCTTTTTCTGTTTAGCGTTTTGGGGCCTCTTTTTCATTTGGCAGGAGGCGCAGGGTAATTTTATTTGTTTTGTTTTTGTTGCGACAAGCAAACAAATAAACTAAATTAAATTAGATACATAAATAAGTATTTGAATGAATAAATAAATATAAGGATGTCTATTCTTGCATTCTGAATAAATAATAATAAGTTTTTGAGTAAAGAAATAAATATAGATATATCTTTTCTCGTTTTCTAAATGAATTAATAAACACATAAATAGTTAATTAATGAATATTTGAATAAATAAATAAAAATAAAGATATCTCTTCTTGCATGCAAAAAGCCTTCTATAGACAGTCAGTTGACTCGATTAAATATCCATAAATATAAATAGAGGGTAATTTAAAATGTAAGAGAGAAGATTTAAATAAATATGCATATAATAACATTTGCTATAATATAATATTATATAATATTATATAGTCTAATGCAATATTATATGGTGCAAATTGATAGTATACAAAATACACTGAAGTATTATATGGTATTGTAATATTAATATTCATATTTAATTATATCTATATCTATATCTATATCTATATCTATATCTATATCTATATCTATATCTATATCTATATCTATATCTTTATATCTAAATCTATATATCTATATCTATATCTATATATATATATATATATATAAATCTATATATATATATATATCTTATTAATGAATGAGCCTTTAACATGTCGGCAGACTGAGCATAGATAAAGCTGCTGTTGTGTATAACGATCTACACCGCAAGCCCTAAGCCCTAAACCCTGAACCCTCTAAACCCTAAACCCTAACCCTCTAAGTAGAGGCAAATGAATAAATGCATGCACGTAAGTGCACATAAATAAATGCATATCAACATATGTATATAAACACATTTAGACACATGCATATAAACAAATGTATATAAATAAGTGCATGCATGCAGTGAAGTGCGCTGTAATAGCTGAGTATCTGTACACCTCCGTAGGAAGACCCCGACTGAAATGTTAAACCAATGAAAGCCGGAGTTTCTGTTGCTGTTGCTGTTGCTGCTGCTGCAGCTGCTGTTGCTGCAATGCATGCATGCATTGCAGCAACAGCTGTAAATAAACACACCTGGGAGGAGCCCCAACTGACTGGATATCGTCAGTTGTTGTTTGTGTTATATTTAATATCATAAACAAACATGCTGCTTGCTTTTAATTTATATGTAAATAAAAATAACAAACCCCAGGGTCTGCATACACCCCAAAGGGGTCGTGCCGCAGGGTGCATGCACGACTCTAATTTGTATACCATTTATATATTATATATTATATATAACATATAAATCTATTTAGTGTATATATATTATATATTATATATACGTACTACGAGGTGTGCATGCATGCAAACGCTTATTCACGGCTTTATAGCATAGCAAGCATAAGCATAAATATTCATTTATGCATTTCTTTATTTGTATATCTCTTCACTGACATGCACATATATACATATTTATATATATAAATATTATATATATATGCGTATATATATATATAAGTATATCTTTCTTGATGTCTCTGTCTGACCTGTGCCCGCATCTACCTGTAGTCGATAGAGCAGCTGCTGCTGCATTTGCTGCTGCAGCTGCTGCTGCATTTGGTGTTCCCGCTGCTGCTGTAGCTGCTGGTGGTGTTGCTGCAGCAGCTATTGCTGCTGCATGCATGCAAATAATCACTTGTTGCTGTCTTCCCCTGTCGTTGTTTGTTAATTTTCTTGTGTCTCTTTTCTTCGGTTTTCTTGTGTCTCCTTTTGCTTCGTCAGTATATTCATTAGTATTTATGCACATATATTATTATAATTATTATATTAAAATAATAATAGTATCAGAATAATAATGCATGGTTATAATTATTAAATTATAAAGATAATATTATTATAATGCACGATTACAATCATTACATTATAATATTATCGTTATAAGTATTATATTAGTATAATAGACTATTATCATTATAATACAATGATCATACTCATAATAATAATAATATAAATATTATTATTATTATATCTGATTATAATCAAAAAATAATAATAATATCATTATGATATAAATAATAATAATAATAATAATAATAATAATAATAATAATAATAATAATAATAATAATAATATATCATTATAACCCCTGTTGATAACGCTTACATGTTCAGGATAGACATTAGAACAAGAGTTAGTAAGTAGAAGAGAAGCAGAAGAAAGATGCTTTAGGTGCAATTTTCAGGTGTATCTCCACATCATGAGATATAAATATTGTATCTCCACACATAAGAACAAGAGTTAGTAAATAGAGAAGATGATGATGAAAGAGACAGTAGGTTTAGCTTTCAGGTGTATCTCCATATCGTATAAAGAAGCACAAACAGACAGTAGGTTTAATTTTCAGGTGTATCTCCACATCCTATAAAGCATAAGATAAGAAGAAGAGTAAAGAGACAGTAGGTTTAATTTTCAGGTGTATCTCCATATCATATAAAGAAGATAAGAAGAAGAAGCAAAAAGAAGAGAGATTCGTTTTAATTTTCAGGTGTATATCCACATCATATAAAACATAAAGAGAGAGACATTAGGTTTGATTTTCATATAAATAAGATAAGAGTAAAGAGAGAATAGATTTAATTTTCAGGTGTATCTCCATATCTAGGCATTTCTTGTCTAATAATAGCACAAGTCCCTGGGTCTTGTACAGCGCCTCCAATAGCATTATGAAGATCCATACTCATATCTTCCATATAATAATTATGAGGCTTTACTAACCAACCTAATGTATTACCCTGAGATAATGTTAAAGGCATGTCTTCTACTACCGGTATATGCCACACTGCACTCGATATCCACGTCACCAAGTCAGCCTTGCGAATGCTCTCGTTGTTCTAAACAAAACATAAAAAAACAATTAATCTACAGATACATATATATGTATATGTATATATATATATATATATATATATCTTTTTATGTATAGTAATAAAGAGATATATACATTAACAAATATATATAGTATATATATAGGGGATGTGTAGACAGACAGAGAGATAGATAGAGACAACAGGATATATACAGAGATACAGAGAGAGACAGATAAAGCGAGACAAAAGGAATAAGATAAAGAGATAGAAAGAAAGAAAGAGAGAGATAAAGAGAGTCAAAGAGAGCGATGCAAAGAGATACAGAAAGAGACAGACAGACAGACTAATGATCTCCATCCATGAAGGCATCTCTTAACCTGCTGTCTGCTGCACAAGTGCAGCAGCAGCAGCAGCAGCAGTACTATCAGCAGCAGCAGTAGCAGCAGCATGAGCAATACTACTGAGGAGGTGTCTGCCTTACCCTCAAGTATCTATCAAGAGAGACGGCCGGCTTCAAAGCATATTTATTGTCTCTAGGTAGTGTTGCTTCTGTTTCATCAGGGTGCCGCACAGTCGTAGCAACTCTGTACTTGGCCCAAGCGCAAGGCCCCGTGTACAGCTCAAACTGAGGATTCGGAATCTGAACACAGCAGCAGCAGCAGCAACAGCAACAGCAACAGCAGTAGTAGCAGCAGCATCAGCAGTAGCAGCAGTAGCAGCAACAGCAACAGCAGCAGAAGCAGCAGCAACAGAAGCAGCAGCAGCAGCAGCAGTAGCAGCAACAGCAGCAGCAGTAGCAGCAGCAGCAGCAGCAACAGCAGCAACAGCAGTAGCAGTGGCGGTAGCAGTAGCATCAATCGCAGCAGCACCAGTCGCAGCAGCATCAGTTGCAGCAGCATCAGTTGCAGCAGCAGCAGCATCAGTCGCAGCAGCAGCATCACTTGCAGCAGCAGCAGGATGTGATGGGTGTTGCTTACTGCAACGGTGGGATAAGGAATGACGGTCATGCCTCCAACATTTCCATAGACATTATGATCTTCATTAACAATAGTATAATGAATAGGCCTTGTGCTATTATAAGCAATATATCCATCTAATTCTTTTTCGCCAATCCACTGATCAAGTTTAATAGCCCCTGGTCTTGCAGTGTCATGAACAATTTCACTGAATACAACAGAGTTTTTTCTATAATCAGGAGTTAAATCAAAATCTACCTTCCATACAGCTAAATGACCATGAAGTGCACCCATTCTCATAGAACCGCTAACTTGTGTTCCATGCCTTCTTTGTCTTGCTGAAAACCAAGGTACTTCTACTCCTGCATAGAGTTCGCCAGTGAAAGAGACGGAAGCTTCTAACCATCCGCTTATATGAAAATAATAATCTGTTATATAATCATAATTACTAACTGTTATCATATGTCTTAATACTAATGCCATATGAGGTGCACCATCTCTTAATGTCCCACTCTTCCAATGTGCACGAAGAGGTCGTGCATAATCTTTTTCAAATATACATAAAGAACCACCATCAAATAATAATTGTCCTGTCTTTGCACATTCTATTCCAGGATGAAGACGACGAGAAGCTGAGCCTAGACCTCCATACCAAGAGTCAATGAAATACCAGTTTCTTTCTGCAACTGAGTAATGAGCTAATGCTTCCATCATACCCATTTCAAACACAAGTCTTTGACCTTGAAAACGAACATCCCAGACACGTAAAGCTGTATCTCTATCCATATTTATTACAAAGTCCCATCCTGCATAATTTACACTGTACGATTGCTGCCCTGGTGATTGCTTTATTGTATACCTTCTTCCTTGAGGCTCTATATGTTCTGGTGCTGCACGATACTCTAGCCCAACACGACCTTCTGGATTAGGTGCAAGCCAGGCAGGAGCTAAACGACGAAGTGCTGCTTGCTGCTGTTGCTGCTGCTGTTGTTGCTGCTGTTGCTGCTGCTGCTGCTGCTGTTGCTCTTTTAAACGCTTCTGAAATATCTCCGGAGTAATCTTCTTGAAATTCTTATCTGTATTGTATGCTTCAACAAATTCACGCAAAGAAGCAAACTGCTGGCCATCGTACCAATACCCTATAACTTTATCTAATTTGAAAGCTAATTCTTCTCTTTCTTCTTGTTGTTGTAATGTCTTTAGATCTACTCCTTCAGGTGCAGGT